TGTCTCCCTCTCTCTCACAGCTCCCTCACACCTCCCTTCCAGTTCCCTCGCACCTCCCTCACAGCTCTCACACCTCCCTCACAGCTCTCACACCTCCCTCACACCTCCCTCAGCTCTCACACCCCCCTCAAAGCTCTCACAGCTCCCTCACACCTCCCTCACAGCTCCTCACAGCTCTCACACCTCCCTCGCACCTCCCTCACAGCTCTCACACACCTCTCACACCTCCCTCACACTTCCCTCACAGCTCCCTCACAGCTCCCTCACAGCTCTCACACCTCCCTCACACCTCCCTCACAGCTCTCACACACCTCTCACACCTTCCTCACACTTCCCTCACAGCTCCCTCACACCTCCCTCACAGCTCTCACACCTCCCTCACACCTCCCTCACAGCTTCTTCACAGCTACCTCACAGCTTCCTCACAGTTCTCTCACAGCTCCTTATCTCAAGCATACTACAAAGCAGCAATAATCAACACAGTGTGGCAATAACACAGGGCAGACATACAGACAAATGAAAAAGAATGGAGAGCTCAGAAATAAACCCACTCATCTACCGTGCACTGATTTTCAACAAGGATGCCAAGACCATCCAATGGGAAAGAATATCTTTTCAACAAATGAGGCTGAATAATACAATTGAATAACTATATGCAAAAGAATAAACTTGAACCCCAACCCCACTCCACATATAAATATGAACTCAAACTAGAGAAGAGATCTAAATATAACAGCTAAAACTATAGAATGCTTAGAATAAAACATTCAAGAGCTTGCATTGGCAAAGGAGTCTGGGCTAAGACACCAAAATGCACCCAAACAACCAAAGAAAAGAGAGAAATTGAACTTCATCAAAATTAAACACTTCTGTCGGGACCAGCAGTTGATGTAATGGCTATGTCGCTGGACTCCCATGTAGTCGGCCATGGTTTGAGTCCCAGACCCAGTGGCTTAAACTCATGTTGGGCGTGTGTGCATGTGTGCCCATGATCCCAAGAGGAGAATGGAGGAGAAGGGATTGTGGCGTGGCCATTTCCCCTGGGGGGTGATTTCTCACTTTCTGTCTCTCTGTCTCTCTGTCTTCCTGGCGAGTGCATGCACCCTTACAACAAAAACCTTTCCAAAAAAAAAAAAAAATTAAACTAAACACTTGTGCTTCAAAGGTCACCATCAAGAAAGTGAAAAGACTGGGACCAGCAGACGGTATAATGGTTACATCGCTGGACTCCCACGTAACTGATGGCAGTTCAAGTCCCAGACCTGGTGGCTTAAACTCATGCTGTGTGTGTGTGTGTGTGTGTGTGTGTGTGCCCAAGATTCTGAGAGGAGGGATTGCAGTGTGGCCATTCCCCAGGGGGGTGATTTCTCACTTTCTGTCTCTCTTTCTCTGTCTTTCAGGCAAGCACACAAAGACTCTGCAAAAAAAAAAAAAAAGTGAAAAGGTAATCCGCAGACTCAGAAAAGCATCCATTCATAAATATTTTCAAATCACAGAAGTGATCAGAGACGTGTATGTAAGATACATAGACAACTCTTACAACTTGATAATAGAAAGACAAATAGCCCAATTAAAAATAGGCAAAGGATCCAAATAGGAGTGTCTCCAAAGAAGACATACAGGAGCCAAGAAGCACATGGGAAGATGTGTAACTTCATTAGTTGTTAGGGAAATGCGAACCAAATGCACAACAATATATTCCTTTACTCCCACCAAGAATTCTAGACTTCAGAAGTCGAAGCAGTGCAGTGTTGGCAGGGTCTGGGGCACACACCGCTGCTGGGAATGTGAAGTGTGCACCTGCTTTGGGGAAGCGTGGCAGTTTCTCAAATGAGCGAACACAGCTATCACAAAACTTGGAAATTCCACTCCTAACACAAATGAAAACACGGGGCCCATAAAACTCCTGTACACAAATGTTATTCATTTGTATGGTTATTAATGTTATTGATTTTTTGTTATTCTTTTCAAATTAAAAAAAAAAAATTGCCGAAGTGCTCATGCACTCACCAGAAACAGAGAGAGAAAGAAAGTGAAAGGCACCCCTACACATCCAAGGAAAACATTACACTATAATCCCTCCTCCATTTCTCCCTCCTTTCAGGATTGGGCACATATGCACACACGCCCGGTGAGAGTTTAAGCCACCAGGCCCAGGACTCAAACCACAGTCAACTACATGGGAGTCCAGCGACGTAGCCAGTACATCAACTACTGGTCCCCTGGTGTTTTTTTCCAAGCTGCTGGGTCCGGGACTTGAACCACACAATCGACCATGTCGTATCCAGCCACCTTAACCACCGTACCACTGGCTGGTCTTGTTTGTGTTATTAATGTTATTATTGATAATAAGCCAAGGTAGGAAAAGCGTGAGTGCCCATCGTGGATGAGTAGATAAACCTAATGTAGTGTATCCACACCGTGGAACAGACGCACAAGGTAGAGAAGTTCCCGAACTTGCTGCAACCCCGACAAACGTTGACAGCATCGCACTGATACCGCCCACGTCTAAAGGACGAACACTGTGTGACCGCATCCATGTGAAACGTCCAGGGCAGGAAGGCTATGAGGGCAGAAAGCAGGGTCGTTGTTTCTTAGGGGAGAGGGGAGAGAGTAAGAGGGGGTAGTATGAAATGGAATTTTTTTGGGGGGGGGTCATAAACATATTTTAAAATTGTGGTGGGGGCCAGTAGATGGCATAGTAGTTATGTTGCTGGACTCCCACATGGCCAACTGTGGTTCAAGTCCCAGACCTGGAAGGCTTGGAACTCACACCGACATGTGTGTATGCGTGCCCAAGATCCCAAGAGGAAAATGGAGGAGAAGGGATTGCAATGTGACCATCTCCCTAGGGGATGATTTCTTGCTTTCTGTCTCTCTGTCTTTCTCTCTCTCTGGTGAGAGTACATGCCCTATAGCAAAAATCTTAAAAAACAAACAAACAAACAAAAGCTGGGGGCCAGCAGATGGCGCAGTGGTTAAGGCGCTGGACTCCCACACGGCCGACCATGGTTTGGGACCCAGACCTGGAAACCTGCTTTCTCACGTTCCCTTTCTGTCTCTCTCTGGTCAAATAAAAAATAATAACAACAACAAAAATAAAATAAATAATTCTTTAAAAATATTGACTCTGGGGACAGCTGTAGCTGTGTACAAATAAGCTAAAAACCTCTAAGTGTGTTTGTTCCAGTACACCACTTACTGTCCACTTCGGGAAACTGTGGGGTACATGTATTGCATCTCCACAAAGCGGCTAAGAAAAAAAAAACCAATGTAAGGCAATATCCTATCCCTCTACACCCCTCTACACCAGACAACAGAAATGCAAAAAGGGGAGTCCCAAGAGCAAGGGGAAAACCTGCAGGGCTCCCAGCACTGCGCCCAGGGGAGTCCCGCAGATGGGACGAGGTGAGCAGGTGCTGGCTAAGCTGACCAAGATGCCGCGACCTCCGACGTGGGCACGGCCCCGGAACGTCCTGTAGTGAAGAGCCCTGGCCGCCGCGAGCACTCTGCACCTGGCCGAGTGCCCGGCACGTGTGGGAGTGGCAGGCACACTGTGCCCGCTGCTGAGGGGCCCCGGCCCAGTGGGGTGCCCACACGTCAGGCCTGGCTGACGTAGAGTAGGCAACACCAACTCTGAGACGCCGTCCGCTGTCAAGGGGGGCGATCCACCACACACAGGAGGCAGGGAGCCCAGCCTCGTGGCGTGAGGTGGCTTCACTGGGGGAACTCTCAGCTCAGTCCCTGGTGCACCACAGGCTGAGGCTGAGAAAGATAAGCTTCTGGGGCCAGTCCCTCCCGTCGTGGCCCAGGTCCTCAGGACGGGCACCAGGAAGGTGCTTGGCACCCGGACACGGCCTCCCCTGCCTGCTCCTGCTGGGTGGACGTGTGCTCAGAGATGACAAATTGTTTTAATATGTCCTGGAATCCTACTTAACTAGGGAGCAAAGTCCCTCAGGGAGAAAAAATGTAACAAGGTCTGAAGTCCGAGATGGATGGTTTTGGGATTGTAACTATTTCTGTGGTTTTAAAATGACTAATTCCACACAGTCCCGGATAATAGCACGGTTGCTGGGAGAACACTGTCAGCAGGCCAGAATACTGTTTTGCACACAGTTTCTCTTCGTTGTTCTAGTTCGGTATAGAGCACATGCACTTGCCAGAGAGAAAGTGAAAAAATCACCACCTGGGAAGAATGGCCACACCGCAATCTCCATTCTTCTCTCGGGATTTTTGGGCAGACATGCACACGCGCCCAGCATGATTTTCAAGCCGCTGGGTCTGGGACTCGAGCCGTTGTTCAGGTGGGATCCAGCTTCCTCAAGCTCCACGCCACCTGCTGGTCCCACACACTTTCTTCCATTGCTCCATCTAAGTGACTGAGTTACAGAGAGGGCTGTAGATGCCACACAGAGGGACAGCTGGCTGGCAACAGCTACAGAGACACAGCAGGGAGGCTGAGAATCCAGATGACACCACCCAGGCTGCAAGCATCACGGGGGAAAGGGCAGAAAAGCACCCCCAACCCAACAGTGAAGCAGCTCTGAGCCCGTGTGCCCGCAACCAGCCCCAGCACCAGCCCTCTGGCCACAGGGCACTGCCAGCAGGATTCCTGCTTCCAGAAGGTGTGTGATGCCTACGGGCTCCCCTTCCATCGGACAAGAGTGCATTCGATCTCGCCACAGAGCCAGGACCTACCGCCCCCGACCTTCGCAAACACTGGTGTATTTCCTTCATGCGACCACGCACACACCCCAGCTCACGCACAAGGCTGCTCACGCCCCCGGTGCACCAGCGCCAGCCTGGGAAGGGCTCTAACGTCCACCTACGCCGGAGAGGCAAATGCAGGACAGACATGGGGTGCCGTAAAGCCATCAGGACCAGGCCCTGAGGACACGCCACAACACACAGTCACCCATGGCAGAGGGGTGGCCCAGGACCGTCCCAGATACCCAAATCCCCGCACAAAACGGCGACGTGTTTGCACGGAAGCCACGCACATCCTCCACAGGCCTCAGACCACCTCCGACAGCCGACAATACCCAATACGCCGGAAGTGCTCTTAAACCATTGTGCTGCATTTCTTATTTGTATTTTTCACTGTTGCAGTCATCCTTCTTGTGTTTCCCTTCCGATATCTGTGGTCTGCGGTTGGCTGACTCTGGGGAAGCAGACGGTGGATACAGAGGGCTGACTGTAGATGACTTCACCAACGTAAGAGGAGAGAAGCACCCGGACTCGAAGCCCACCCACGTCTCAGTTTGGCCGCTGTAACGCACTGCCAGAGACCGAGTGGCTGCACACGCACGCGTATTTCTCATGGTCCTGGAGGCTGGGGAGGCCAAGATCAGGGTTCGGCATGGCTGGGTCCTGGCCGGTGTCCTCGTGATCACACACGGCTGCCTGGTCCCCTGATGTGGTGGAGCTGGGAGGAAGGAAGGCTCCATCTCTTCTCAGATGCACGAATCCCACCAGGAGCAGGGCAGTGCACGGGGCTGGCCTGGGCAGGGTCTGCAGAGATGGGAAGCAGGGCAGGCCATGGTGGGCAGAGCGGCTCCCGGCCAGGCTGCTGCAGTGTGGCCTCTGGGCATCCTTGCCCAAGTCTTGTGGCCCTCGGCCTGCAGCCTCTTGTGCTTTACCAAGCAAGTCCCCCCAGCCACCCATCCAGACCCTGATCCCACCTGGTGTGGTAGACAATGAACATTCTGAGCTCTATCACGCTTCCTCGCCCCAGTTCAAGGGCCTCGGGTGGTCCGGGAGGGCCCATCTGCAACCTGCCTGCAGCCCTTCTGCAGAGTTTCCCGTCTCCTCTAGGCTGAGTACCAGAGAGACAGAGAGATACAGAAGAAAAGTGAGACATCCCTCCCCCTCCATCTTCCTCTCGGGATTTTGGGCACACATGCACATACAAGTCCATGATGATTTTCAAGCTGCCAGGTCCAGGACTTGAACCATGGTCAGCCATGTGGGAGTTCAGTGCCTGGCCTTATGTTTTTTTTTTCTTTTTTTTTTTTAGTGGTTTTTGCCATGGGCGCATGCGCTCGCCAGACAGACAGAGACAGAAAGCGAGAAATCACTCCCCAGGGGGGATGGTCACGCCACAATCCCTTCTCCATTCTCCTCTCCAGATATTGGGCACGCATGCACACGCGCCCGGCGTGAGTTTTAAGCCACTGGGTCCGGGACGTAAAAAGCGGTCGGCTACGTGGGAGTCCAGCGACATAGCCATTACGCTAACTGCTGGTTCCCCTGTGTGGGCTTTTAAGCACAGAGAAGAGGATCAGTCTGGTAGCCTGGGCAGGATGGGCATGTGCTGAGCCTGATGTCAGGATGACCACGGAGGGCAGGCCTGCGGCCTGGGCAGGGGTGTAGCTGCCAAATGGAAATGGACATTTTCTCTTTAAAAGAAAAGGGAGGGGGGGTAAATTTGCCAGAGGGCGCATATGCTCGATGGAGGAAGAGAAAGTAAAAAATAAGCCCCCAGGTGAGGGCCACACCACAATTCCTTCTTCCCCACTCTCCTCTCAGGATCTGGGCGTGCACACACAGGCATTTGGCTCGTTTCTCGAGCTGCTGGGTTCAGGACTCGAACCACGCAGTCAGACACCCAACCACCTTAACTATCACCCTACCAGTTGGCCACCTGAGATTTTCTTTGTCTTTCTTTTTTTTAAGAAGTATTTATTTAATTTAATGTATTATTATCATTATTTTAAAATTGCTATAGGACATATACGCTCATCAGAGAGACACAGAGAGAGGGAAAGTGAGAAAGCAAGCTGCCAGGTCCAGGACTCGAGCTGCAGTCAGCCATGAGGGAGTCCAGTGCCCCAACCACCGCGCCACCTGCTGGCCTCTGAGATCTTCAAGGTGACTGTCACCCTAGGTGGCTTTCAGCTCGTCACACACAGAGCTGGACACTAAACCAGCCTGCGCGACAGGCCCTGGCCACATCCTCTGTACGCGGATTCCCGCAGTCCAGGAGCCAGAGCCGGAGGCGGGCTGGCGCTCTGGCCGGTGCTTCCCGCACAAGCAGCAGCCGGGGCTGGAGAGCGGGCTCCTCACAAAGAGAGAGAGCAGGCACCAGAGTGGGGGCTCTGGACTCCCCTCGAGGCCGGCCTCCAGATGGGCAGCTGGAAGCAGGCGTCCAGGGCAGTGGGGGACAAAACCCCCTTCTGGCCACTTAATGAGGAGCGGGCCCGCGTGCAGGAGCTCAGCGGCAGTGTCTGAAGGCGGAATAAGTCATCTGAAAGCAGAAATAAATTATTCATTGCCCACAAACGAGCAGCCTCTGGGTTCCACGGCAGCCGCCACCACAGACGCTCCAGAGCTCAGAGAATCCTATTAGTGCGCGGAGCAGACACGGATTCTGCTATCGCCGTGTAGACAGCTCGCCCATGATCTGTACACCACTTTCTATTCTGCACTCGTGAGTGAAATCAGCCCAGCACATGGAATGGAAAATCTCAGCCCAGCCTGGCCTCGAGAGACCGGGGCCGTGTGCGCAAAGCACATGTGCTCAAGGAACTCGGGTCACTGCCGCCTCGCAAATGCCCCCTCCTCGCCACAAGACAAGACGGGCCGGTGTTTGCGAGAATGCAGACTCTGGGGCCTGCCCCCTCCCTAGGGGTAGGCCCAGCCCATGCATTTCCAGCAAGTGCCCTGAGCTGAGGCCACTGGCGCGAGAGCAGGGGTCTGGGCGTCCCTCCCCCAGGCCCTGTCTTGGCATGGAATCAGCTGGCCGGCTTTGCATCCCGGGCAGCCTGGGCTCGGGTCCTCAGCCTCTCTGAGCTGCAGGAGCTCCGACGGCTTGTTGGGAAGATGACAATCACATATACAAGAACCGACACCCAGGCGCTCGGCGGGGGCCACTCGCAGCTCCCACAGCCTCTCGCCTACCCTGACGGCTTGATTCCAGCCTGCCCTGCTCACTTACCAGCTGGGATGAGAAGCCCGGGGTCATTCTGAGAAGCACCAAGCTCTGGCCCTCCGCCAGGCCAGGCCTCTGCCTAGAACACTCTCTCACTCCCTAATGAACTGCTCTGCCTTGAGCCCAGGCCAGGGTCCCTCTCTAGGGAAGCCCCCAAATCCAGCCTAGCAGCTTTGATGGCTACAGAAGCGCCCCCCCCCCATCACATTTTGCCACTGATGTAATTTCGTAACTTCTCTGGGATGTGCTGATGAGCGCCTGTAGCCCCACTGCGGGGAGCGCTGGAGGGGGAAGGGGACCTGCCGTGGTGCCCAGCCTGAGGCCCTGGCACCGAGCAGACACGGTGAAGGAGCAGGTGCACGAGGGGGACACACCCGCAGGCCCTCTCCCCTCCCCGGCCGAGTGTCTGGCACCCTTCCCACTGCAGGCTGATCCCACCTGGGTGTCCAGTGGGGTTCGTCCCTCTGTCCTCGTGCTCCCACGAGGGGGCTCCGGCAAGAACAATGCTGGCATACAGCCAGCCCCCACCCGGTCCTGTGAGCCGCCTTCTCCGACATAGCTGAAGGAAGAAGTGGCCTTCCAGCAGGGTCCCCTGGTCCCCAGACCCCAAAAGCAGGGATCCGTGCTCTCTTTCTGCCTAGGACTGGGAAATGTGTCTTAAAGGATGGGGGCAAGCGTCAGGAAGCCGATTCTGCCATGGTGCAGCCTGCCGGGCCAGAGTGGCCAGCGGAAGGCGTGTGCACGCGTGTGTGTGCACATACACACAACTGAGCGGTTCTCCGCAGAGCGAGTCCATCCCACAGACACCTGGCAATGTCTGAGATGCTTCTGGTCATTACAACCGGGGGTGGGGAGGTTCGCCATCTGGCTTCGGACGGGCAGGGGCCCAGGGGGCTGAGAACAGCCACGGTGCACAGGACGCCCCTACACCCGACCAGGAAGCACGCTGCCAGCCACAGCCAGCGCCGAGGCTGAGGCCGACACGCAGTCCCACACCGGTCGCCTGCGGGGCTTTCCTTCCTACCAGCTGCGGCTGTCGTGGCGCGGAACACGTGGCTTGACCCGCACGCCCGGTCCCGGAGGAAGGCCAAGGTCTGTGTTGTGCCCGGAGCTGACCCACACTCCCACACCCCTGTTCTCCAAAGTTCTGCACAGGAAAAGGCCGCCACCCCCCCGTGCACCTCCTAAACAGGAAGGGGCTCTAGGAGACTCAGTCTCGTGCGTCAGGGAAAGCCCTGAGTGTCCCGTGGCGTGGCCAGGCGCACAGGAAGGTCACAGCCCTCGTGCTGGTCTGTGGTGGAGACCACGCTCAGTAGTGCCCACCAGGCACACGCGGTCTACACCGGGTCCCACGCTGCGGCAAGAGGCAGCCCTGCGTGTGGCTTCTTGTCCAGAACCAGACCGGACACTTTCACTCCGGCCTCTTCTCCAGGGACAGGCTTTAGGGCGCGCAGCCCTCGGCCCCAGGAGCAGCAATCCCATGTGGCCATTTCCTTTCTCTTTATAATTCAGAAACTTGGGGTCAGGAGATGGCGTAGCGGTGATGTTGCTGAACTCCCACATGGCAGACTCGGTGGCTTGAGAATCACACTGGGTGTGTGTGTGTGTGTGTGTGTGTGTGTGTGTGTACGCGCACCCAAGAGCCTGGGGGGGGGGGGGAGAG